AAACTCTACAACTCCACAATGGGTGTTAAGGTTCCCACAAAATGCATCACATATAAGCTTGTCATGAGATGTAAAGGTTCCAATGCGAAACTCCATGATAGAAGCATATTACACACTCTTGTTGGACTCAAGAACTTACTAAGCCACCTCAATAATCAGTGAATCTAGTTAAGAAATAAGTTCAAAGCAAATACAAGTATCACAGAATTCTGAAAACCATCATCATTGAAATCATGAAACATGCATCTTTTGGTCATTCCAATAGATTCACTCATTACGCTCAATTTGGGACTTTTCACTCAAAGAGTCAATCAAAGTGTGTTTTCATAGGCTTGCCGAGAATTACTTCGCCACCATTAAGGATGGTTTCATGCACAAATCAAAATGTCTTAATCAAGGTTGTAATGGGACTAGGGACATTAAGGTGAGATAAAGAAAGGATTTCAAAGGCTAAATATCAAAGGAATTTGAACATTTAAAACACACACCATAGAAATCTAACTCCCCCGCCCCCCCCAAACTTCAACTTTGCATTGCACAAACTCCAAAAACCACCACTTTTTTTTTTCTTGAATATATACACATAAAACACCCCCAAACTTGAGAAATTTCTTCATTTAAGTCCAAGAGCATTTTTTTTTTCTATGCTCCACAACAATGTTGCTTTTTTCTTTTTTCTCATTTATCCTCATTTTTTTTTCTTTTTTTCTACAAAGAGCTTTTTGTTTATTTTTTTTCCAATATATCAAACACATTTACAAGTAACAACATGCTATCCCATTCTCCCCATCGCCACACATTAAAATCGAAATTTCAAATTCCTTCGAAAAGGATGAAGAGAATGCCAAAATAGGAAAAATGTACTAATATATAGTGGGTTAAATTGAAAAATGAAGGCCAAAAAGCTCAATTTGGCTCAATAGGGGACAATAAAGGTGGGTGTTTTTCGCAAGCTAAAAATGGTTAATCCTAGGTGCCCTTATCATTTTTGTGCACAAACCAAATGATTTTGAAATGTATAACAAGGGAAGTTCAAGAATTAGCAAACAATGAAGACACACTCAATTAGGAAGACTTAATAAGGAAAGTTGAGAGCATTTGATGATACTCTCTTTTTAGGCTCATGTATGCCCTCACTTTACTAGGCTTTGTGACCAAACATGCATATTCTCATTCAATTCAAGTATAGGAAAGATAACACCACTTTTAAGCACAAAAACATTTAGACTCAAGTCATGTCTAGAGGTGGAAGTCAAAGTACACAACTAGGTCCAAGTGAGAGATATTATGAGTTGTAGGAGAGTTTACAAAAAAATTGTCCCTCACTTTCATTTAGAGCTCCAGTTGTGATGACAAATATGTTCCCTTAAGCAAAACCACCACATGGTTAGCTTAGTTTAGTTCTTTTGAGTCTACCCTTCACCTCACTAGACATTATAAATGCAATTAAATTCACAAGGAGTTTAGGGTGTACTACACACACATTCAAGATGGACTAGAAATAAGTACAAGAATTTTATGCACAATCATCCATATTGAATTCAACACTTCAAGCATAAAGATCATCCAATCACCAAAATCAATGAAAATCGAAAAAATTTAGCACAAATTTTTATCACACATAACCAACTCAACTCAAAGTAACATCACCAAGGAAATATCAATACATGCATTCTCTTCCCCCAAACTTAAACAACACATTGTCCTCAATGTGTAAGAAAGGTAAAGAATTACTCCCTTCACCAAAGAAGTATCGGTGGATATGAACAAATGTAATGAACTCATGAAGAGATGCCCCTTCGCCCTCCCCACAAAAGTTGGAGAATTTCTTGAGGTTGCTACTTTGGACATGTGTTAAGGTTGCTCAAGACACAAGACCAATCCCTAGAAAATCTATGCACAAAAGAAAGCAAAATCCAACAAGTGAATAATCTACATAACAAAATTGCAAAACTCTCAACTTAAGAATTAGAACACCATCACATTATGTAGGTTGAGAAAGTTTTTGCAAACAAAGAATTAAAGTATGAGGTAGAAGATTCACAATAGGGTACTCATGAAAGATTAGAAACCAAAGCTTAAAGGAAGCAAATTTAGGTATAAAAGTTAGTTTAGGCATTTTAGTAAAGACCTAGCATGCATTCCTTAAAACTTGAGGTTTAATTGCTATTTACCCTAACCCTCCAATTGACAAATTGGAATAAAGCAATCAAAAGAGACAACATAATGATCAAGAATATAAGTACATGACATCTCACATTTTCATTTGGTGCTTGCCGAATTCACCAAAAATAAATACTAGCTGGATTATGATTCTTGCATACAATGGAAGCTAGGTCGATCCCACGAGGATAGCTAAATCACCTAATTTGTTGTTGATAGACTACCAGTTCAGACAAGTGTCACTCAGGGGAATGAAAACGTTCACTCAGGGGAGTACAGACCAGGGGTGTTCATCTCCTCTTCCTGTTGTAGCAGTTGTAAATTTCACTTAAATGGTCAAGTTCTTGTTCATTCAGCTCAGATATAACTCTAAGTTAGTTCCCATTTTTCCTAGAGCCATATTTATAACTTTAACAATCTATTTTTCAATGATTGAGTCCAGTTATAAAGTCATTAAGATCTACGGCTTATACGAATGCTCATGTCAACTAAGTATATTCCTATCTTAGTTAAAATCATAGATTGTTACCTCTATGTCACAAGTTGAAGTTGAAATAATCCGAACCAAGTTTATCCTTCCAGATTTCCCCTAGTTCTAGCATGCATTCAATTAGAGATCAAGTAACTGAATGTAGAAACACTTTCAACTTCAAAACATAGAACAAAACCAGTGCATTAAAACAACTACAACATAGGTTGAGGAGATTAACCCCTGGACGCTATTTAGCCACTCATATTGGTTGATGCTACTGCTACTACTTCAACAGACATCATAGAAGTATGCATCAACGAAATGAAATACAAGCTAATAGCCTAGAGAAGAAGATAGCTTATGCAGTTCAGAGTCACTCCTGGGAGTGACAGAGTTCACTCAGGGGAATGAAGCAGTGAATGAGATGGTTGTTCTTCAACTTGCTTCCTACTGAGTTGTTGTTGTTCTTCCTTCCTTTTTGCCTTTTGTCCGGAGTTTTTCTATGTGTTTTTAGCAACTGAGAGGTGTAACCAGATATATCCTCTGCTGTGAATGCATCTCCCCTTTTATATAGCTTGATGCCGGTTCCTCTTCCAAGAGAGCCTCCCCATGCTTGTTTCTTTATTCACCCAATGCCTTGTGTCTTGAACTTGGAATTGACTGGTCTTTTGCTCTCCTTTCAGAAACGGTATCAGCTGCATCATTGATCAGCTTGGGAGGTTGGTTTCTCGGCTAAGGAGACAAGCATGCCCTTGGATTTCTAAGGTGGGACACACTCATTATTCTCTAGGTACTTTGTGTCTTGGAGATGTTTTTTTGACCAGTTCAGCAAAAATTGAATCCATCAGCCCACACTTTGTTCCAAAAGCCCCCTTTTTAAGCATTTATTCACTCATGTCCCTTCCTATGCAAAAACATAAAACTAGTTAAGTAAAATAAACTAATTCTAAGAATTACCCCTAATTCTTCACTAAATTCAGAGTAAATGGTAATGCTTTTGTGTAACAAATTAACCACTATCAACTCCTCTAAACTGGAAGAATTGCTTGTCCTCAAGCAAAACCACTAGACTCTTACTGACACTGGCAAAATTACACATGAGAAATAGAGGAAACAACACTGTCATACAGACTTAATACTGACTTACTTCCTTGAGTGAAAATGCTCACTCAGGCAAGTGACACTAGACATAGAACACAACACAAATACCAATCCGCCAGGGGCTGTCAGCCTTTTGTTTCAGATTTAAGTAAAGAAAACATACACTAGGGATACCAAATTCTTCTGCAATCCACAATCAAACAGCTAACCTTCACATGAAATCAGAATACATGCCACAAGTGTTCGTTCATGCCAACATACCAATCCATTCTAGTTAACCAAGTTCAGCTTGTAGTGGTCATTCTTGTGATCTGGTCTTGCCCAAGTTATTTCGACTCGATTTACCTACAGAGGCTTCAATCATGGACTTCCTTCACAGTTTTTCTGTCTTTCTCGTTTTTTTTTTTTGAATGTAGATAGACCAATCTACGCCTTTAGGAGCGGTGTTATTCAACCTTATCTCTCCACTGCCTTATACCTCAACCCTTATTACTCCAACAGCTTAGGACTTTTGTGGTGGTCCCTTGCTGTTACCCCTAAGGTTTTAGTTGATCCAATCTTTCCTTTTCTTTTTTTTCTACCTGTAGCTTAAAACTAGACACAGATCACAACAGTGGATTAGTCATGCCAAATTTTAGAATTTATGTTCTAGGCAGTCACTTCCACGAGTGGCATTGTTCATGTGTGTGAGTGAGTGTCAGCCATTCTTTCATTTCATGCATCAGACTCAGTATCAAAAGTGTTTTAGCACAATTTTTCGAAATCATTATCATCCTGGACTGTTGACAGCTCCTTTTAGAACAAATTTTCATTTTATTCCAATTTTTTTTTTGAAAAATTTTACAGACTCCATTTAGACATTAAAATACTTCAACCTAAAGGAACTAAATGACACTTGACCTGACCAAACCTATTCAAAACTACTCTACTCCCCCAAACTTATTAAAAGCATTGCCCTCAATGCTTACAACAATCAAAACAAAACAACTTAACAGAAAGCAAAACAAAGCAAAAGAAAACAACAAGAGTTCATAGTTTAACAGAAAAAATTAAGTAGTTGATTGGAGGCAGCAGGACAATACTTCCCTGAATTTTCATGGAGGCATGCCATGGAGTGGATGGGTTGGTGGATCATCTGGCAATGGGCAGTTTTCAGGGCATCCAATGCACTTGTGCATTTCCTGCAAGAATTGCTCAGTCCTTAATTGACACTGGTGGACATAATCCAGGATGAACCGAGTCTGCTTGTTGAAGTCTCTCTACCTCAACTGTCCAGCCAGAGTCGGGGGAGGGATGCTGCTTGTCCTGAAGAAGACGCACCTGGAGGTCTCTGATCCAATTTAGACAGCCTTAAAGGTTGTTGCAGGCTGATTTCAGTGTCTGTGCTCAAAAAGGTCACCCCTGCCCTTCTGCAAAGCATGGTGATCATAACTGGGAAGTACCAGCTCTTCACCTTGGGGTTTGTGATACATCTGGTGAGTTGATCCCTGATCACTAATGCCGCATCAAATGGTGTGTCTGTGACAATTGCATACAACAATAGAGCCTGTTCGTAGGTAACCTTGGCAGTGTAGGATGTCGACATCAGGTTGCAGTAGATGAAATGATGCCATAAGTTCAGATCACGTGTCTGCAAGGCATTAGCTGAGAATCCTAAGGGATTGTCCTGATCGTCCTTTTCCCAGTTTGCACCTTCCTTTGCCAATCTATCCAGAACTGCTTGTTCCAATGGCTGATTCGGATGCAGGGCAACAAGGGTGTCTTTGTAATCTGTGCTGACTCTTGGCAATTTCCAGATTGCCCTAATAGCCTCTGTGCTGCAGTTGACAGATATTCCTCTGACAAAAACTCCATCTCTGGGGGCGGTGGAGAAATTACCGTAAAACTCCTGCACAATCTGGGTCCTGAGCCGAATAAGGGGCCTAGAGAACATCTCCCACCTATGGCGTTTGATGTAGGCGAACGCTGCACTATCTTCACCGATTCTCCTCTCTGCGCTTCAGATGCTTTAACAGGAAATCCCAAGCCTTCATTCTAGGGAAGAGTCTTGGTTCCCACTCGTCTGTGAGAGCGTTGAGGGCCTGTTCTTGGAGAGCCCTTGGTGGCTGTGGGGGCGGTAGCGGAGTAGGCTCCCAGTGAGGGGAAGGTTGCCTTTCAGGAGAGGACGGTGGCGTGGGTTCTCTCTGCTCTTCAGGGGAGGACGAGGGTTACCATCTTCTGGTGTTGGAGGCGTTTTTGAGGGCAGCAACCTTTCTTCTTGCCGGCGGCATGATTCAAGAACCCTAAAACTGAATTGGCAAATTGATGGGATTTCGGACTAAATTGAATTTCTGCCTTGGCTGCCTGAAATCTAAGAGGAAAGTTTAGTGCATTCACACACAGGGGAGTGGTAATTGAAGGGGCAAAGTGACACATGAATTTTAACTGCATATTTAACCATTGAAACGCTAGAATTTGCAGAATCTTTCTCACGACAGTTGTAGATCACACTTAGAGCTTCGCAACTACATCAAGAACTTTCAATTCTGATTAACAGATCTCAAGTTATGGTCTCCGAAAATTGGCTGCTAGTCATTGTTCAATACTAGTGCATTCTTGGCACTTTTGATTGGTTTTCTCCATTTTCATGCTATTTAGCCACTCTACAATGATGAACCACAAACAAATAAGAATTGTGCACTAATTACAATTAAAAACCATCTAGATTAGACCTAAATAAGAGTAAAAGATATGTGAAATTGCATATAAATACATGTATATTTGATTCACATCAGGCATCTTGGAGCTTGATGCTTCCACTCACCTGCAAGCACAATTGGCAGCCATCACGAATGAGATAGCAAAGTTGAGAGCTGACATCAACAAACCAAAGGCTGATGTCCATAAGATATGCACATGTCCTCACAGTAGCTTTACATGTCAAGCAACCATGGAAGAAGTCCAATTCGTGAGACAAGGAAATGGCAGAGGAAGTTTCAACTACTACAACAATTGGAGACCTCAACAAAACAACAACTGGAGTAATCAACAGTCAAGCTATCAAAGATCAGCTCAACCTCTTGGTTTTTTAAATCAACCATTCAGAGTCAAAGAAAAGGAATGGATCAAGGTAGGTAATGTTCTGGCTAGTCTAGATGCAAAAACTAAAGATTTACAGAATCAGATAACACAAATAGTAAGAAGGATGCCTGACAGACTAGTTGAAAGACTTACAAGTAATACCTTGGAGTATTCTAAGGAACTAGAGCCAGAGCAAGCCAAGGCAATCACATTGAAGTGTGGAAAACAATTGCCAGGGCCACTTGTAGCAAGTTCAGAAAAGTGTGGAAAACAATCACATTGAAGTGTGGAAAACAATTGCCAGAGGTTCAGTCCGGACGAAGAAGACGAAGAAGTGGAGGAGTTTTAATTAAATGCAGTGCATTTAAAACCTTGGAAGTTGTGGCTAACTAAGGGGTTTTAAACGGACGCGGTTGAATTTTGAATTTTGAAAAATTTCGGGAAAATTTCCCCCCCAAACTCAAATTATAAAATGCAGTTCAAAAAGTGATTTGCAGAAAGTGTTTTCCAGTTGTTCTTACTTAGGCGAGTGAATTCCCCACTTGCGTGAGTGACGTCAGGGCTTGAATGACTTACAGAATCATGTTGCTGTAGGTTCACTCGGCTGAGTGACCTTCTTCACTCCTGAGAGTGAGTTTACCTGAGGCCTTTTATGTTTGCACTTTCTGAAATCAATTCGGGGTGACAAATACCTCCTTCGTTCCTGCAAAATTGGCATATCACAAAATTAGCCACACAAAAGCAAACGTATGGGTTGCCTCTCCTAAAGCGCATTGGTTTCAAGTCTCATGCCAGACTTCAATAGAGTTTTAGTTAAGCTCTTTCAGGATCAGAACATGACTGTCCTGTCCTTTACTCCCTTTTGTCAATCCAAGATATGGTTTTAGCCTCTGCCCGTTAACCAAAAAGGTGTTGCCATTTTGTGGATTCGTGATTTCCACTGCTCCTTGATTCAAAACCTTGTTGATTCTATAGGGGCCAGTCCATCTTGACTTCAACTTTCCTAGAAAGAACTTCAGTCTGGAATTGAACAATAAGACTTCTTGTCCTTCTTGTAGTTTCTTCTTCACAATATGCTGATCATGATAAGCCTTAGTTTTCTCCTTGTAAACTCTGGATGATTCATATGCCTCTTACCTGAACTCTTCCAGCTCATTCAATTACATCAATCTGAGTTCCTTGCTTCTTCTTGGATCAAGATTCAGTTCCTTAATAGCTCAGTAAACCTTATGCTCCAACTCTACTGGCAAGTGGCATGCTTTCCCATAGACCAGCTTGAATTTGGACATACCAATGGGGGTTTTATAGGCTGTTCTGTATGCCCATAGAGCTTCATGCAACCTTGAAGACCAATTCTTTCTGGTAGAGTTGACAACTTTTTCAAGGATTCTCTTCACTTCCCTGTTTGACACTTCTGCTAGCCTGTTTGATTGTGGATGGTATGGTGTTGATACTCTGTGCCTGATTCCATATTTCTTTACCATGGTTGCAAATGACTTGTTACAGAAGTGTGATCCTTCATCACTGATTATCATTCTGGGTGTACCAAACCTGGCGAAGATGTTTTTTCTTAAGAACCTGAGAACAGTCTTAGCATCACTGTTTCTTGCAGCTACAGGTTCTATCCATCTTGAAACGTAGTCCACTGCCAGCAGGATGTAGGAGTTTCCAAAGGATGACACGAAAGGACCCATGAAATCTATCCCCCATACGTCAAACAGTTCTACTTCCAACATGTTCTGTTGTGGCATCTCATTTTTCCAGGAAATGTTTCCTGTCCTTTGGCATCTGTCACAACCTTTAGCGAATTCGCGTGCATCTCTGAATAGGGAAGGCCAATACAGTCCAGCTTGCAGAACCTTGATTGCCGTCCTTTGACCACTGAAATGTCCACCATATGGAGAACTGTGGCACTTGTGCAGCACTTCTGCAATTTCAGGTTATGGAACACATCTTCTGATCAATTGGTCTGCACATCGTTTGAATAGGTAAGGTTCATCCCACAGGTAGAGTTGAGCATCATGAAAGAATCTTTTGCACTGTTGAGGAGAGAAATCTGTAGGAATAACACCAGCAGCAACAAAGTTAGCAAAATCTACAAACCAGGGTCTGTTACCTGTCACTCTCATGAGTGTGCCTGTCACTCGCCAGAGTGACTCATCAGGGAATTTGTCTGAAATTGGAGTTGTATCTTCTGGAATCTCTTCAACTCTTGACAGATGGTCTGCCACTTGATTTCCAGCACCCTTTCTGTCCTTTATCTCCAAATCAAATTCCTGTAACAGTAACACCCATCGAATCAATCTGGGCTTAGATTCTTTTTTATTGATTAAATACCTGATTGCAGTATGGTCTGTGTAGACTATGACTTTCATTCCTAGCAAATAAGCTCTGAATTTGTCAAATGCAAACACAATTGCCAGCATTTCCTTCTCTGTAGTGGTGTAGTTGACTTGTGCAGAGTTGAGAGTTTTACTAGCATAGTAAACTACATGCAACATCTTATTCCTTCTCTGTCCAAGTAAAACACCAACTGCAAAATCACTAGCATCACACATTAGTTCAAAAGGCTGTGACCAATCAGGCGTGATGATCACAGGTGCAGAGATGAGTTTCTTTTTCAGTTCAGTAAATGCATTTAGATAGGATTCATAAAAAATAAAAGCAGTGTCTTTTTCAAGCAAGTTGCACAATGGTTTAGAAATTTTTGAAAAATCCTTAATGAACCTCCTGTAAAAGCCGGCATGGCCTAGGAAACTTCTCACTCTCTTGACTGTGGTTGGTGGGCTGAGTCTTTCTATGACTTCAATCTTTGTCTTGTCCACTTCAATTCCTTCCTGTGAGATCTTATGCCCAAAGACAATCCCCTCAGTTACCATAAAATGGCACTTCTTCCAATTGAGGACTAAGTTTGCTTCTATGCATCTCTTTAGTATCAGTCCAAGATTGTCTAGACATGCATCAAACGACTTACCAAAGACTGAGAAGTCATCCATAAAGATCCCAATTATATCTTCCACCATATCAGAGAAAATGGCCATCATACATCTTTGAAATGTTGCAGGTGCGTTGCACAGTCCAAATGGCATTCTCTTAAAGGAAAATATGCCATAGGGACAGGTGAATGTCGTCTTTTCTTGATCATCAGGATCTATGACAATTTGGTTGTAACCTGAAAAACCATCAAGGAAATAGTAATACATGAATCCAGCCAATCTATCCAGCATTTGATCAATAAAAGGAAGTGGAAAGTGGTCTTTTCTGGTAGCTTTATTAAGCTTTCTGTAGTCCATGCACACTCTCCACGCATTATTCAGCCTTGTAGGGATCAGCTCCTGGAGATCATTCTTTATTACTGTGATTCCTCCCTTCTTGGGCACGCACTGAACTGGACTCACCTACTTACTGTCAAATATTGGGAAGATGATTCTAGCGTCTAGTCGCTTAATAATTTCCTTTTTTACCACTTCCTTCATGACTGGGTTGAGCCTTCTTTGTCCTTCAATGGTTGGCTTGGCATCATCTTCAAGTAGAATCTTGTGCATACATATGGAAGGACTGATGCCCTTAATGTCTGCAATTGACCATCCAATGGCTTCCTTGTGCAAGCTCAGCACCCTTAGCAACTTATCCTCTTCAGTACCTGTAAGCATAGAAGAAATAATCACAGGTAAGGTGTTACTTGCTCCAATATAGGCATATTTCAAATGTAAAGGTAGAGGATTAAGCTCTAGTGAAGGTGGTTCTTCGATTGAAGGTTTGAGGCATCTTCCTTCCTTAGTCATGTCTAACAGCTCAAAGGGTTGTTGTTTATGATGCCACTTGGGGGAGTGGTTCAAGTAACTCAGGCAAGTGAGCCTGTACTCATTTTCCCCTTCCTGTTCTTCACTGCTGTCTGGACACAAGAGTTCCTTGAGGAGTTCATCTTGTAGCACTTCTTCTGCCACTGCTTCTTCCACTTCTACACTCTTCACCATATAGCAGTTATGAAATTCGACAGGATATCTCATGTTTTTGTTGAAGGTGACTTTATCCCCATCAAAGTGCAGTGTGATTTTTCCTTTTTTTACCTTAATGATTGCATCACTTATTGCCAGAAAAGCTCTCCCCAAGATGATGGGCACATCCCTGTCTTCTTCCATGTCAAAAACCACAAAGTCTGCTGGGTAAACAAAATTCCCAACCTTCACAAGAACATCATGTAAAATTCCCTTTGGATAGGTCAGTGACCTGTCTGCCAACTGCAATGTCATGTTAGTAGGTACCAAAAATTTATCCAGATCAAGTGATTTAAATACAGACGATGGCATGAGATTTATACTTGCACCAAGATCTAGCAATGCTTTTGAAAATTCTCTGATTCCTACAGTGCAAGGAAGAGTGAAACTACTCGGATCTTTTAGTTTAGGTGGCATTTTTCTCAGGATAGCTACACTGCATTCTTCATTTGGAGTAATAAAAGCAGAATCATGCACTTGTGGTTTATTAGCCACCAGATCTTTCAAGTACTTGAAATATTTAGGCATTTGTTTAAGTGCATCAACAAGTGGAACATTAATATGTATGCTTTCCAAATTCTGAATAAACCTGTTGAGTCCTTCATCCACCCTGGCCTTCTTCTGCCTTACTGGATATGGCGGTATTGCATCATGTGGCTGTTGACTAGGTGCTAGGATTTTGATTTCCTCCATTCCAGGTTTTTCCACTGATTGCTCCTGTTCAACCAAATGATCATCACCAGATTCTTTGTTAGAAGATGTTTCATTATTACCTGTAGGGTCACTCGCGGGAGTGACTTTTTCACTTGGCTGAGTGAGCTGTTTTCTACTTTTGAGAGTGATAGCCTTTGCTTGCTCTTGATCATTTCCCTTCGGATTGACAATTGTATCACTTGGTAGACTTCCAGATGGTCTTTCAGCATTCTGTTTTGCGATTTGAGCCAGCGGATTTTCCAGACTTTTGCTAGATACAACCAAATTCTTAATTGCATTCTGCACAGAAATCCATTCATCTTCCTTGGTATATATTGCTGATTAGAACGCTGTTGATTTTGATAGTTGAGAGGTTGGCCATCTTGTCTTTGAAATCCTGGGGGTTGAGTAGGCCTGTGATAGTTTCCCTGTTGTGGTGCATTATTCCAGTTGGGGTGCTGCTGATTTCTCTAATTGTTGAAGTTGTTGAATCCTCCAGCATTGCCCTACCTAACAAACTGGACAGCTTCCATTTTGGAGGGACAGTTATCCAAATTGTGAGATCCATCACATAACACACATACTTCAGCCTTGGATTTGGATAGCTCACTCCTCAGTTTTGTCATCTCATTCATCATTACAGCCATCTGTGCTTGCAGGTGTGTACTGGGGTCAAGTTCCATCACTCCTGGCTGCTTTGTACTTCCTCTTAGATCAGATTGCCACCTTGAATGATTGGTGGTCATATTATCAAGCAACTGCCTTGCTGCATCAATCGGCTTCATCATGAGCACACCTCCAGCTGCAGCATCAAGGGAGTCTCTTGTGGCTGGTAGCAAACCATTGTAGAAGATGCTCAGTTGGAGATGCTCTTCAAACCATACTGAGGGTATTTCTTGATCATTTCCTTCAATCTTTCCCATGTTTCATAGAGTGTTTCAGTTCCATGCTGCTTGAAATTCATTATTGCAGTTCTGAGTTGTGCAGCTTTTGTAGGTGGAAAAAACTTTGTAAGGAAGCCTTGTCTTAACTCTTCCCAAGTGGAGATAGAATTGTTGGGCAATGTCTTGAACCATGCTTGGCGTGATCCTGCAAAGTGAAAGGAAATAACCTCAGTCTAATGTCATCATTGGATAAGCTTTGAATCTTAAAAGTGCTGCATAAACGCGAGAAACTTATTATATGATCATTCGGATCTTCATGAGGTAATCCATGGAATGGACAGGCTGACTGAGTCAATAGGATCATCTGTGGTTTTAACTCAAAATTGGTTGCCTCCACATCAGGGAACACTAATGGGGATTGGACTTCTTGTTGTGGAATAAAGAAATCTCTGAGCAATCTCTCAGGTTGGTTTTGTCGATCCCCACCAGGGTTCCTATTGTTCTTCGGGTTACCACCTTGGTTAGCCATTTCTGATGAACCTTCCTGGCGGTTTTGTTGCAACCGATCGTGCTTTCTTTTTGCTGGATCAAAAACTGGAGCTTGATGTTTCCACTCACTTGCAAGCACAATTGGCAGCCATCACGAATGAGATAGCAAAGTTGAGAGCTAACATCAACAAACCAAAGGCTGATGTCTGTAAGATATGCACATGTCCTCACAGTAGCTTTACATGTCAAGCAACCATGGAAGAAGTCCAGTTCGTGAGACAAGGAAATGGCAGAGGAGGTTTCAACAACTACAATAATGGAGACCTCAACAAAACAACAACTGGAGTAATCAACAGTCAAGCTATCAAAGATCAGCTCAACCTCCTGGTTTTTAAAATCAACCATTCAGAGTCAAAGAAGAGGAATGGATCAAGGTAGGTAATGTTCTGGCTAGTCTAGATGCAAAAACTAAAGATTTACAGAATCAGATAGCACAAATAGTAAGAAGGATGGCTGACAGACTAGTTGAAAGACTTACAAGTAATACCTTGGAGTATTTTAAGGAATTAGAGCCCGAGCAAGCCAAGGAAATCACATTGAAGTGTGGAAAACAATTGCCAGGGCCACTTGTAGCAAGTTCAGAAAATAAGACCAATGAGAGTCAAGCTGCAGAACCACCAGCCATAGAAGAAGAAGAAGAGAAGAGGACAGTAGGAACTGCTTAGGAGGAGTAGAAAACACTCTTTCCAAAAGACCACCTCCATATGAGCTAAAATTTCCATTTCCAGTACAAGATCCAAAGAGAAATTAAGAAGCTGGAATGAAGAAGTTTGTCCAAAACTTGGATAGTCTTCATATCAATGTCCCTCTAATAGATGCCTTGAGGAAAATGGCCAAATACTTAAAGCATCTGAAGGTGACTTGGTATCCAACAAGCCAAGGATCTATGATTCTTCATTCATCACTTTGAAAGAAGAATTCAGTGCAGTGCTCCAGAAGAAGCTACCTGCAAAACTTAGGGATCCTGGGAGTTTTACTCTGCTCTATACTGTAAGGAATATGAGTATTAAGAAGGCCCTACTGGATTTGTGAGCTAGCATCAATTTGATGCCCCTCTCAGTATTCAGGTCATTGGGTATTAAGGAAGTGTTGAGCCCCACCAACATTACACTCCAGCTGGCTGATTGATCACTTACTTATCCAAGAGGCATCCTACATGACATATTGGTAAAAGATGGATCATTCACTTATCTGGATGACTTTGTGGTGTTAGATATGGAGGAAGACAAGGATGTGCCTATCATCCTTGGAAGACCTTTTCTAGCAACTTGTGATGTCGTTATCGAAGTTAGAAATGGAGCTGTCACACTGCAATTCGATGGAGAGAAGGTAACCTTTAACCTTTAACATGTTTCATGATTGATACTGTTGAGATGGCCAGAGAGGAAACCTGTGCAGTCAATATTGAACCAGAAAATTGCTGAGGTTACTGACAAATGAAGAATTGGAGGCACCAACACACCCCCTAGAAGATGAAGATGAAGACATCACCGGGGCAAGTTACCCTGATCACTCACCCAAGTGTTCTGTTAAGCAACCTGCTGAGATACTAGACATGTCCAAGGAGAGGAAATGTCTCAAGCCATCCACTGTAGAACCACCAACATTGGAGTTGAAGCCTCTGCCAACTCATCTGAAGTATGCATACATGGGGGAAAGCAACACAATACCAGTCATTACTTCTTCAAACCTCATAGAAACACAAGAAAACAAATTGCTCAGACTACAAAACTAACTATTGAAGCACAAAGAAGGTTGAATCCAACAATGAAGAAAGTTGTGAAGAAGGAAATCATCAAACTGTTGGAAGCTACCATTATCTACCCCATATTAGATAATAAGTGGGTGAGTCATGTTCAATGTGTGCTAAAGAAAGGTGGCATGATAGTTATCAAGAATGATCAAGATGAATTGATCCCAACTTGAGTGGTCAGTTCCTGGAGCGGATGCATGGATTACAGGAAGCTGAATAAAGCAACCAGGAAGGATCACTTTCGCTTGCCTTTTATTTATCAAATGTTGGACAGGTTAGCAGACTATATGTATTATTGTTTTCTCGACGGTATTCAGGTTACAATCAAATTGCTATAGCACTTGAGGACCAGGAGAAAAACAACATTCACCTGCCCTTATGGCACCTTTGCTTTTAGAAGGATGCCATTTGGCTTGTGTAATGCCCCAGCAACATTTCAGAGATGCATGATCTTACTTTTCTCAGATATGGTGGAAGACATCATTGAGGTATTCAAGGATGATTTTTCAGTTTTTGGAAAATGTTTTGAAAATTGTCTCCCCAATCTGGGAAGGGTTTTAAAAAGGTGCATTGAAGCTAACTTAGTCTTGAATTAGGAGAAATGTCATTTTATGGTGACAGAAGGCATAGTACTTGGTCACAAAATTTCTACTGAGGGAATTGAAGTTGACAAAACCAAGGTTGAGGTAATTGAGAAAATGGATCCTCCTGCATCACTCAGAGGGATTAGAAGTTTTCTTTGCCATGCTGGATTTTACAGGAGATTTATCAAGGATTTATCCAAGATCTCCAAGCCATTATGCAACTTGTTGGAAAGGATTGTATGAAGGGATTCAAGAAGTTAGAGAAGTTAATTTTTGCACTAGTGATTATCACTCCTGACTGGTTTCAACCATTTGAATCAATGTGTGTTGCTAGTGATTTTGCAGTAGGAGTCATGCTGGGGCAAAGGAAGGACAATGTCCTTCATGTGGTCTACTATGCCAGCAAGATACTGAATCCAGCTCAAGTCAACTACTCAACCACTGAAAAAGAGATGCTAGCTATTGTTTTTGCTTTTGATAAGTTCAGGTCATACTTGCTGGAAATGAAGGTGGTTGTGTACACTAATCATGTTGCTATTACAAGAAAGATTCAAAGCCTAGGCTAATCAGGTAGATCTTGCTATTGCAAGAATTTGATTTAGAGATCAAAGACAGAAAAGAGACTTTGAATCGACAAGCTGATTATCTGTCAAGATTAGAAGGACAGCAAGAAGATCCTGAACCAATTCAGGAAAAGTTACTAGATGAACAGCTCTAGGGAGTGGAAACAGTGCTTGCCCAAGTGACAGACAATAGACCATGGTATGCTGATTATGGTAACTAAGCTGCAGACAATATTATTCCTACAAATTTAAACAGATAGCAAAGAAGAAAGTTTCTCCATGAAGCCAAGTCCTATTTTTGGGAGGAACCATATCTATTCAAGATCTGGTGCTGATCAGCTAATCAGAAGATGCATACCATTAGAAGAAACAAGATCAATCGTAGAGAAATGTCACTCATCTACTTATGGAGGCCGTTTCAATGGACGGAGGACTGCTGCAAAGATTCTACAATCAAGTTTTTTCTGGCATACTCTATTTTCTGATACTATAAAGTTTGTTAAATGTTGTGATAAATGTCAAAGATCAGGAAATTTGTCATGGAGAAATGAATTACCACATCAGATAATGCTGGAAGTAGAATTTTTTGATGTTTGGAGAATTGATTTCATGGGACCTTTTGTATCCTCAAGCACCAACACATGCATCCTCCTAGGAGTGGACTATGTGCCCAAGTGGGTAGAACCAATAGTTGTACAGTCCAATGATGCTAAAACTGTGATCAAATTCCTGAAAAAAATATCTTCACTAGATTTGACACTCCTAGAGTGATCATCAGTGATGAGGCATCTCATTTTTGCAGCAAGAACTTTTCAGCTTTGGTTAGAAGGTTTGGGATCCAACATAGAGTGCCAACTTCATACCATCCCCAGACAATTGGACAAGCTGAAGTGTCCAACAGGGAAATGAAGAGAATCTTGGAGAAGGTGGTATGCAGTAACAGAAAAGACTGGGCATTCGGGCTTGATGATGCTCTATGGGTTTACATGACAGCATACAAGACTCCTACAGGCATGTCTCCTTTCAGACTAGTCTATGGAAGGGCTTGTCATCTAACTGTTGAGCTGGAACATAAAGCTTTCTGGGCTATCAAGGAACTAAAATCATGAAACAGAAGCTATGATTGGAAAAAGATTGATGCAACTAGAAGAAATGGAAGAATTCAGGCAAAATGCATATGAATCATCCAGGCTGTACAAGGAAAGGACCAATGCATACCATGATAAAAGATTGGTAAAGAAGCATATGGAAGAAGGTTAATTAGTGTTATTGTATAACTCTAAATTGAAATATTTCCAGGAAAGCTCAGGCCAAGGTGGTCTGGTCCATTTGAAATCAAGATGATCCTGAATTAAGGAACAATCGGATTAGCTAACTTAGAAGATGGCAGTACATTCTTTGTCAATGAACAGAGATTGAAGCCATACAATCCACTGCAGAAAGCAAAAATACAGCACAAGGATGTGTTGTACCTCAAGGAACTAGAATAAAAATATCAAGGAGTTTGGCATGAAACTCTAAACCAATGCGCTGCTTGGGAGGCAACCCAAAGGTAATTTATTTTGTCCTTAGTTTTGGTTCATTTATCTTTTGTTAATTGATCAATCTGTTGCAAGCAATCAAAAACACTAGAAGCATTCTTATCAGAAATTTTCATGTGGATTATAAGATGATAATTTGAAGTGTCTTGCCAATTATGAAAAGTGGCAACACCCCAGATCAGTATCTAACAAATGTTGAATAAAAAATGGACAGTCAATCATCTCACTCGGGTAAGTGATATATTCACTTCCGCGAGTGTAAAGTTTAACTAACCCAGACAGAAGTCAAAGTGATTAAGTACAAGGAGGTGGGAAATTCATTTTTAAATACTTCTGATGTGATTGGCGGACATAATAGTAAAAAATAAATGACGCAGAGTTGGAGAATACAACATTCCCCCTTTAATGCAACTGCAGCCCACGCCCCCATAACATCAAACTTTCCAACATTCTCATCTCCTCCTCCATTTTCCACAACGATCCTTTCTCTTCTGAAACCCCAGAACGCAACCACCAGAATACCTCTTCTCTTAAAACCATCATCTAAACTAGATGGTCAAAAACAGACAAAGAGCAAGAAGAAGTATTATGCTCATCCAAGGAATGGCGATAGTTCCACCGAATCTGCAAGAACAGCCAACCATAGAAGAGCGAGCAGCCCACCGTAATATTATTCAGAATATTGGAATTTTAGGGCTGGTCTCTAATCCTACTGCAGCAGAATTCTTCCGAAGAAATTGGGAAAGAAGGGCAATTATAGAGCGAGGAATGGTCGGACAACCAGATCTAAATTCATATATAGCCCAACATCATTGGGAAGGATTGTGCACCATCACAATTAGACCAAACCTTAGTGCAATGTGGAAATTTTATAGCAACACGAGGGGAATCCAAGGGGACGAAA